TGGTAGTGAGATCCATTTAAAAATTCACATCTCTCAACATACATACTTACTAGAGAGTAGAGATAAAATGAAACTTGTGATGACATAGAGAAGGTTATGAACCAAGCATGACCTTGTATACGTATATTGTATTGAAAGAAAAATGAAAAATGAAAAATGAAGTAAAAGGGGGATAGGTTTATTACCCAAAGACAATTCCTGCTAGGTTGGCCAACGAGGGCTATCTGATAATCAGGATCAATGTACAAAACCCAGTAATCCCCAGTAACAGGGATAACGGGTAAGAAGGGAGGAACCCAAAATTTGACCTTGAGTTTGGCCTCATCGCTATTGGGATCAGCCTTATAGGCATAGCCCTCAATGAAGCTTCTTTTGCCAGCGCTCCAAGTCTCATTGAGAACGTTGACGGTGCCGTCATCTTTGAGAGTGTAGGTGGCTCTGGTGTTGACGCCGTCACTGGGCTGAAACCTCGACGGAAAACACGCAATCTCGTACCAGCGACCCATGTACCTCGCCAAGTCCAAGCCTTTCACCACCTCCATTGCTTTGTTGGCCATGCTGAATGCGTTACGCTTAATAACGTGAGGGGACGGTGGCGCAACGGAACAAAACACGCAAACCCTTGTGAGTGTTTGTTTGAGTTGTGAGTTGTGCGGTTTAAGGGTTGAAGACTTTAACCTTAGGTTGCCTTTAACATTCCACTCCGATTCTCTCAGTCTCAGCGTGATCCACTTCGTCACGTTCTTGCCGTGGACGAGCTTTGGCCTTACACGTGTCCACTCCATTTCATTCATTCCTTCATTCATGCTACTCGTACAATCTTCCTTCTAATTAACTAGTAGTAAAAAAGGCACTCCTGCATTCTATTAAAAATAATAATAAAAAAATAAAATAAAATTATTTATAAAAAAGTAATTATTAAAAAATAAATAAAATAATTCATATAAAAATAGAAATTAAAAATAATTAGTAAAAATTATATCTTTTTTATATATTAATATAGATTATTTTATAAAACCTATTATAT